ATAAATGAGTACGTGGGAACATTAGATGTTTTGAATGAAAGCAAATTTGTAACCTTTAATAAAAAACATTTAGAATACATTAGAAATTATTCTAACCGGGAGTTGGTGTTAAATTAAAATACAATAGATAGAAACAAGTCTTGAAATTATTAAGAAATTTATTTATTTGTTTGCTGCAGGTTAACGACATTTTAAGCTTATTGTATTGCAGGACACTACTGCCCGATTCTTGGCCAATAATTCATTCAAAATTTTATTTTTCATCAAAAGTTCACTTTTCCATCCAAAATACTTGCCTTTTCAATGAAAAATGTTTTTTTCTTAAAATGCGAACATCTTTATTTAAGTATGTATGTTGAAACCCCTCCTTCTGAAGGCCCTGATATTTCGGGGTTCAAAAGAAAATTCTGGGAAAATCACTGATTTTTCTAGAACTTTTGATAATCTCACGTTTCAACCAAAATTCAGTACCTTATAGAAAAATCTTATTTTATTGGAAAATTTATTTTTTGCAGAAAAGACCCTTTTAAACAAAAACTCAATATTTCACCAATTCACTTCGCTGAAAAAATCGAAAAATCACTTTTTTTTATCCAAAGCACACTTTTTTAGCAAAGGATCAATGTTTTCATAAAAAATACTATTTCACAAACAATTCACTTTTTTACCAAAAAAAATTATTTAAAAAAAAAAATCAAGTTTTCATCTAAACAGAACTAGAACTGAACTAGAACTGAACTAGAACTGAACTAGAACTGAACTAGAACTGAACTAGAACTGAACTAGAACTGAACTAGAACTGAACTAGAACTGAACTAGAACTGAACTAGAACTGAACTAGAACTGAACTAGAACTGAACTAGAACTGAACTAGAACTGAACTAGAACTGAACTAGAACTGAACTAGAACTGAACTGAACTAGAACTGAACTAGAACTGAACTAGAACTGAACTAGAACTGAACTAGAACTGAACTAGAACTGAACTAGAACTGAACTAGAACTGAACTGAACTGAACTAGAACTGAACTAGAACTGAACTGAACTAGAACTGAACTGAACTGAACTAGAACTGAACTAGAACTGAACTAGAACTGAACTAGAACTGAACTAGAACTGAACTAGAACTGAACTAGAACTGAACTAGAACTGAACTAGAACTGAACTAGAACTGAACTAGAACTGAACTAGAACTGAACTAGAACTGAACTAGAACTAGAACTGAACTAGAACTGAACTAGAACTGAACTAGAACTGAACTAGAACTGAACTAGAACTGAACTAGAACTGAACTAGAACTGAACTAGAACTGAACTAGAACTGAACTAGAACTGAACTAGAACTGAACTAGAACTGAACTAGAACTGAACTAGAACTGAACTAGAACTGAACTAGAACTGAACTAGAACTGAACTAGAACTGAACTAGAACTAAACTGGAACTAAACTAGATCTGAACTAGAACTGAACTTGAACTGAACTAGAACTGAACTAGAACTGAACTAGAACTGAACTAGAACTGAACTAGAACTGAAGTAGAAGTAGAACTGAACTAGAACTGAACTAGAACTGAACTAGAACTGAACTAGAACTGAACTAGAACTGAACTAGAACTGAACTAGAACTGAACTAGAACTGAACTAGAACTGAACTAGAACTGAACTAGAACTGAACTAGAACTGAACTAGAACTGAACTAGAACTGAACTAGAACTGAACTAGAACTGAACTAGAACTGAACTAGAACTAAACTGGAACTAAACTAGATCTGAACTAGAACTGAACTTGAACTGAACTAGAACTGAACTAGAACTGAACTAGAACTGAACTAGAACTGAACTAGAACTGAACTAGAACTGAACTAGAACTGAACTAGAACTGAACTAGAACTGAACTAGAACTGAACTAGAACTGAACTAGAACTGAACTAGAACTGAACTAGAACTGAACTAGAACTGAACTAGAACTGAACTAGAACTGAACTAGAACTGAACGAACTAGAACTGAACTAGAACTGAACTAGAACTGAACTAGAACTGAACTAGAACTGAACTAGAACTGAACTAGAACTGAACTAGAACTGAAAGAACTGAACTAGAACTGAACTAGAACTGAACTAGAACTGAACTGAACTAGAACTGAACTAGAACTGAACTAGAACTGAACTAGAACTGAACTAGAACTGAACTAGAACTGAACTAGAACTGAACTAGAACTGAACTGAACTGAACTAGAACTGAACTAGAACTGAACTAGAACTGAACTAGAACTGAACTAGAACTGAACTAGAACTGACTAGAACTGAACTAGAACTGAACTAGAAATAACTGAACTAGAACTGAACTAGAACTGAACTAGAACTGAACTAGAACTGAACTAGAACTGAACTAGAACTGAACTAGAACTGACTAGAACTGAACTAGAACTGAACTAGACTGACGAGAACTGAACTAGAACTGAACTAGAACTGAAACTAGAACTGAACTAGAACTGAACTAGAACTGAACTAGAACTGAACTAACTGAACTAGAACTGAACTAGAAATGAACTAGAACGGAACTAGACTGAACTAGAACTGAACTAGAACTGAACTAGAACTGAACTAGACTGAACTAGAACTGAACTAGAACTGAACTAGAACTGAACTAGAACTGAACTAGAACTGAACAGAACTGAACTAGAACTGAACTAGAACTGAACTAGACTGAACTAGAACTGAACTAGAACTGACTAGACTGAACTAGAAATGACTAGAACTGAACTAGAACGACTAGAACTGAACTAGAACTGAACTAGAACTGAACTAGAAACTGAACTAGAACTGAACTAAGACTAGAACTGAACAGAACTGAACTAGAACTGAACTAGAACTGAACTAGAACTGAACTAGAACTGAACTAGAAACTGAACTAGAACTGAACTAAGAACTGAACTAGAACTGAACTAGAACTAACTAGACTGAACTAGAACTAGAACTAGATACTGAACTAGAACTGAACTAGACTGAAAACTGACTAGAACTGAACTAGAACTGAACTAGAACTGAAGAACTGAACTAGAACTGAACTAGAACTGAACTAGAACTGAACTAGAACTGAACTAGAACTGAACTAGAACTGAACTAGAACTGAACTAGAACTGAACTAGAACTGAACTAGAACTGAACTAGAACTGAACTAGAACTGAACTAGAACTGAACTAGAACTGAACTAGAACTGAACTAGAACTGAACTAGAACTGAACTAGAACTGAACTAGAACTGAACTAGAACTGAACTAGAACTGAACTAGAACTGAACTAGAACTGAACTAGAACTGACTAGAACTGAACTAGAACTGAACTAGAACTGAACTAGAACTGAACTAGAACTGAACTAGAACTGAACTAGAACTGAACTAGAACTGAACTAGAACTGAAACTAGAACTGAACTAGAACTGAACTAGAACTGAACTAGAAACTGAACTAGAACTGAACTAGAACTGAACTAGAACTGAACTAGAACTGAACTAGAACTGAACTAGAACTGAACTAGAACTGAACTAGAACTGATCTAGAACTGAACTAGAACTGAACTAGAACTGAACAAGAACTGAACTAGAACTGAACTAGAACTGAACTAGAACTGAACTAGAACCGAACTAGAACTGAACTAGAACTGAACTAGAACTGAATTAGAATTGAACTAGAACTGAACTAGAACTGAACTAGAACTGAACTAGAACTGAACTAGAACTGAACTAGAACTGATCTAGAACTGAACTAGAACTGAACTAGAACTGAACTAGAACTGAACTAGAACTAAACTAGAACTGAACTAGAACTGAACTAGAACTGAACTAGAACTGAACTAGAACTGAACTAGAACTGAACTAGAACTGAACTAAAACTGAACTAGAACTGAACTAGAACTGAACTAGAACTGAACTAGAACTGAACTAGAACTAAACTAGAACTGAACTAGAACTGAACTAGAACTGAACTAGAACTGATCTAGAACTGATCTAGAACTGAACTAGAACTGAACTAGAACTGAACTAGAACTGAACAAGAACTGAACTAGAACTGAACTAGAACTGAACTAGAACTGAACTAGAACCGAACTAGAACTGAACTAGAACTGAACTAGAACTGAATTAGAATTGAACTAGAACTGAACTAGAACTGAACTAGAACTGAACTAGAACTGAACTAGAACTGATCTAGAACTGAACTAGAACTAAACTAGAACTGAACTAGAACTGAACTAGAACTGAACTAGAACTGAACTAGAACTGAACTAGAACTGAACTAGAACTGAACTAAAACTGAACTAGAACTGAACTAGAACTGAACTAAAACTGAACTAGAACTGAACTAGAAATGAACTAGAAGTGAACAAGAACTGAATAAAATAGAACTAGAACTGTACTCGACCTAGACCTGAAGTAGAATTGTGATATAACTGAACTAGAACAGATCCAAACTAGAACTGAACTAGAACAGAACTAAGCTAGATCTGAAACTATACTTGAACTGGAGTAGAACTGAACTAGATTTTAATTAGAGCTGTACTAGAACAGAACTATAACTGGAATTAAACTAGAACAAGAACAGAAATAGAACAGAACTAGAACTGAACTAGCACTGAACTAGAACTAACTAGAACTGTAGGTTATCTAAATTCATATCTCTTGAAATATTTTCAAATAAATTGGTAACATTATATCATAACATTATCCTGTTCAAAATTTAACTGGTGTCTACAAAAAATGATATGATATCATCTCTTGCCTCTTTCTCTTGGTATAGTTCAATGGGTCCATTGTGAATTATTTAAATGGTAATATAGAAACACAACAGTCTCTTACTGTTGTCATGCTGACATTTGATGAAATGTTCAACTGTTAAAGTAAAATATTCAACAGAAACTTAAAATTTTAACAAAACCACAAATTTTTCCACACCTACTTAGTGCATCAACAAACTAACTAACATTTAATGAAGATTTTATTTGCATATTTACCTTGCTAAAATAGCCCACTGTATGACAACCATCAACATCTGCCAAGGTCATGATATAAAAGAGAAATGGTTCGACATCATAGTACAAAGTCTTGTGATCCAGGAAAAATTTCGCCAATAAACACAAATGCTGGCAATATTGCTTATGACGTTTACCATCTACTTGCCACACTTGTAATTTACCTTTGCGATAGATTTCATCACCGGGCGGATGTCGCCAAACACATTTGTGAGCATGACGCTTAATGCCGGTTTCTGATTTTTGATAACGTAAACAAAACTCACAAATGTACATTTGCGGCAGCCTCGAAACGTCTTCGGGATAAGGAGACTGATACCATACTTTCATTTTATATTTACCCATTGTGATATATCTGCAATGTAAATTTAATTTGTTAATTTGTTTTATATTTTATACACAAAAATAACAGACTTACTTGATGCCTTTACCAATCGGCAAATCTTTAACTTCATCTTCAATTTTTTCACTAGCTAAAGCCTGGGCATCTCTAAACAACTGTAAATCATAATCGGGTACTAAACCTATCAAACTGGGCTCACGATCTTCATCGTTACAATCCTTTTCCAGTTTAACTTTATCGCAGTTTACCACCTCTGCTATGGGTTTAAAACGGGCTCTGGATTCTTTAATTTTACTATAAAATTCTTTTTGTTCAATAGTTTGTAGGTGCTTTGTTGATGATTGTGGACCAGATTTATGGCCATCCAAATGGTTCGAGGCTGTAGAAGGTTTACTGCTGAGACTCTCTGCCCGTAGCTTGCGTTCATTAGCTCTTTCTTTACATTCGGATACAGACATGTTGTGATATATTGGACAGGCCTCGGGTAAAAAGTGGCGATCTAAATTTCCGCTTAGGTGACCCGAGGAGTCACAACCATCAACTGGGCATCGCTTTTCCAATTGTGGTGGCGTGGGTGCTCTAGACATGCTGGGAAAACCATTGTTACTGATTTCCTTCTTTACGCTACATTTACTAAGCGTTGTGGCGCCAAGACCAATGTAGGATTTTTTGGCCGGACTCTTGCAGAGTGAGCGTTTCATATCGCCCACGGTGCCATTAATAGCTTCTGAATCGGAATCTGAGCCGACATCCTGTTGACTGGCTCCAGCTGAAGTTTTAACTAATGGTTTACTGTTTCGTCTGGTACTTAGAGAACGTGTAAGTTTTCTATTTCTGGTATTCTTGGGCGGACTCTCTCCTCTATCTGAATCGGAAAATTCATTTTTATTTTTAGCACCTATTTCGGTATGTCTATTCTTCGGACGTCGTTTGCCGCCTATACCTTCACCACCACCCTTTCCGACCTTGGAATTATATGAACTATTGTCACTACTTTCAGTTTCGCTACTGCTACTTGAAGATTCATCTTCTGAGCCGGAAACACTATCATACTCAGATTCATCAGAACATTTTTTTCTTGACGATGCAGCAGCAGCTGCTCTTATGGATTGAGAAGGACCATTATTTCGTTTATTTGGAATTTGTTTTGCTTTAGCTGTTGTCTGTTCCGTGTTATCATTAACTGGATTTGTATTCTTGCCTATGACCTTGGTTTGTGGTTCTTGTTTTACCTTTTTTATGGGTGTTGTCGTACTGGTTTTTGCCATAACTTCTGGATCTACAGCTATTGGCAAAATCGTTGATTTTTCTTTTTCATTATCATTTGTCTTGGCCGGTTTAGTGTCACTTGTTACCTCTACGCCAGAAGTTGTGTTCTCTGATTGTGCCTTTTGTAACTTGGAGGCTGTCAAGGCAAAACCTCCAGAGGATCTTCGCCTTTGACTGGGCTGAGTTGTAGATGTAGTCGACAGTCTTTTAAGTGGTTTTTTAGCAGGTGGTGTATCATCGTCACTGGAATAAGCTACATTTTTATTAGGTTGCTTGGCTACCGCCGAGCTATTGCTCGTATTAAGTTTTGTTGTTTTTTCTGCCTCTGCCGTTGTTTTTTGTTGGTTTGTCTTACTTTCCGAGCTCTTTCTTCTGGTTGTTACTTGTGGCTTGTTTTTGTTATTATCGTTTCCTCTTGACGCATTTAAAGGTTTGGCATCGCTGGATGTAGTACTCTCGGAATCTGTTGAAGATGAACCACTATCTGTGCAGCTTGTACTTCCGCTGCTTGTTGAACTTCCAGACGACGAAGTAGACGTAGAACGGCTAGAATTCATTTTGTTTTTAATTAAGATTTATGCCTTATAAATTATTTTAGCATAAATTATACACAAAATCCAAGATTTAGTTATTTTTTTCAATTATTTTCTTTTTTTGGTTGATTGTTGATAGAAAATTTTCAGTTTTTTTCTAATCTGTTTTGTTTTTCTTTTTGTATCCTTTTCTAAACAATCTGTTATAGTTGTAAAAATTGGTACTATTTTAAAAGCAACACTGTGTTGAATAAAAAAAGCAAAAAATAATACATTCCAAAAATACACTTAGAGAAAAAAGTAGAGATGTTTGACTTAACTTGATTACTCTAAAGGCTGAAACACGTCCAACTGCGACTGACAGCTACGCAACGTAGAAAAAGTGATGCCCAATCGTTACGTTACCGACATACAAAAACAATTAAATATGTTTTAATACAAAAAATATTAAAAATAGCATATATACTAGGGTGATCGCCTCGGTTTTTCAACCGGTTTTAAAACCGGTTTTTTCTGCTTTACCAGTGTCGGTTTTTTCTAAATGTTGATTTTTCGAATATCGAATAACCCGGTTTTTTTACTTTTTTAAAAACCGGTTTCGAATACTTTTATTTGCTTTGTATTCAAAGATTACTTAAATTAATTTTTGAAGTAGATAATAATACAGCCCGTCTAAATTTTAAAAATATTGGGGTACAGGAACTAGAGTATATTTTTCTAAAGCACCTTTGGTTAAACTTTTTTGATTTTATTAATTAATTAACAAATTTTATTTGTAAAATTGATTGGAATAACTGCTTGATAAAATTTTACCAATCTTAAGATTATATTCCTATAACAATAATTAATTTGCGGCTGAAAAATTATGGAAGTGTTGGAATGCCTATGAAAATTGCCCAAGCAGGTATTTTAGAATAAGCTAGGATTAAAAAGTTCCTTATGTTTAACACTTTTTTCCTAATTTTTTTATATTAAAGAAATAATGTAAATCAGACGACTAGATCTAAAGTTATAATCTTTTAAACTGTTAAAAATCAGTTCGGGCCATGTTTTATTAATCAAATTTAAACATAAACGTTAATTTTTTCAAATTAAAAAAGATTTTTTATTTATAATGAAAAACCGGTTAACCGGTTTTTTCTGAATTTGAAAAATATCAACCGGTTTTTTTCAAATGTCAACTATTCGAACTATTCGAAAACCGGTTTTTGAAAAATGTCGGATAATCGATCACCCTAATACATACATACATCGTAATTAAACAAATCATATATTTTCATGGATTATTTCGGGCCAATATTGCTCAATATAAATAACGGGCCAGTTCGCTACTTATATTGAAAGAATGTTCTAATGAATATTTGAAGATTCAGATCTCGCAGATATGAAGGGTCGTCTGAAAATGTTAATGTTATATAAGGCCGTTTGCTTTTTATGTGACGATATTTTATTAATTGAACATATGCTCAACGACAACACTGTTTATATGTATTTTTTCTGAATTTATCGTACAAATTTTTCCTAGTGTATTTATTTTGACATTTGACTCGCACTAGATATACACTCTGTCAAAAAAAAAAAAAAAAAAAACAATAAAAAGTAATCGGTTTCAATTTAATTTTTTTTATTTAATTAAAATAGTGTGACGTGCTCGTTCGGTGGATTAGTTGGTGGAAAAAAAAAAATAAGATAAATTAAAAAATTAGTGATAAGATTAAGTCAAGTTACCACTAAACGGTAACAAATATTAATGACTATTTGTTAATAACCATTTGACCTAAATTTTATTTAGTTTGAGGTTATGATAAGTTAAATATTAAAGGAAAATTAATTTAATTTATTCAATTGAAAATGAAGCTAATCAAAGCTTTATTGATTGCACTTGTTTGCTGTGCTTTTATCAGCTTTGATTTGACGCCCGTATCAGCATTTGAAGACAATGACTTTGCGGAATTTGAGGATTTCGATAGTGATGATGAATTTGTAGAGGCACCTGTCACGGTTAAAGGCGAAGGTGTCCCAGCAACAAATGAAGTACCAGTTGTAAAGGAAAAGGAACCCGTAAATACGGTTAATGTACAAGATGATGAAGAAGATGGTATTGTTGAGGATGAAGATGAATTTTTCAAAGATGATGAAGAATTTGAGGGTTTCGATGGTGGCGATGTTAAGGAAGATGTAGTCGATAAAAGAGCCCCCGAACCAAAACTCACCGTTGCCAAGATACCCATGCATTTTAGGTAAATTTGTTAGATTTTATGGGTGGTAAATAAATAATAAGTTATTGTGATGGATTTTACTTTTAAATTACAGAACACATTGGGATTCCTATTGGATGGAAATGTTAATGTTGGCAGGTCTTATGGTATATTTCACCAACTTTTTCGCCGGCAAAGCTAAAAATGCCAAATTAGCTCATTTGTGGTATAGCACACACAAGGGTCTGCTCGACGACAATTTTGTTTTGGTGGGAGATGATGGCAAACAGGAAAATGAAAATCCTGGTTTAATGAAAGAAAGTGAAAGTTTGTACACACTTTGGTGTTCCGGACGTACCTGCTGCGAAGGCATGTTGGTCGAGTTAAAAATGATTAAACGCCAAGATTTGGTATCATTAGTAGCTGGATTAATGCGCCCACAACAAGATCAACTACACATTAAAGTTGATCTTACACGTGGTGTAATGGATCCATTTGTATTCTGTGTTGGTACCAAAAAGACTATAACGAAGGCTTTTAAGGAATACTCCGATTTGGTAGGTGTCTACAGTGGACGTCCAATAGTACGTATACTCTTTATTACGAATATCCAATAATACGAATGGCAAAATTGTTGCATTGTCTACTCTATAGTACGAATAAAGTCACAATTTTTCTGTTCGATAGTACGAATAACGCTTTTTTTATGGGAATTTTGGTTTTATTTACGTATGAATGAAGTTTTTATTATGTTTTTATTTTATTATTTCGGTATCATTCACCTTAAGCTCAGTAATTTTGAAGTTGTTTTGTATTTATTACAAGTGTTTTGTATTTTTAAAAATCCTATACACACAATTTACTGCATGTATATTTACAAATCAACAATTATTTAGTATTATTAATTTATTTTAATGGAATTTTGATAACCCAAGAGAAGAAATTAAATTGGATGATAACGCCAATGAAGAAAGTATTTTATTAGTTCCCGACAATAACTCTGCTGAGAACAATATTGAAGCCTCAAAAGCGCTGTTATTGAAAAAGCCGTAAGAATCATTTTACAATGTAATAAACATCGATGTTAAATGATGGATTTTTTAATAAGTAAAATGATATTTATATACATATGTATGTATGTATGAACTGTTAATTTTGAAAGTAGTGTGACTCCACATTCCAAACAATGGGTTTAAGGATAACTATTCTAATTTTTAAGAGAAAATTATAAATTAGAGAATTGTGGTATATTCCATTCAAGTTTCTAATAAAAGTTTTATGTAATCTGAACATTTTAATACATACATTTTAGAACACATATGTAAATTACAAATTGTCTTTGGCACACATCTTTTTGAAAACATTAAAATTTAAAACCTTCTACATATATCTCATTTCAACCATTGGACTCACGATACTTTCAAAATTAACAATTCATATACGTAAATATGTCCCTTTTATGCCTGTTTATGTACAAGAAATTTATTTAAAATAATACACATTTATTATATTTTGTTCCGTTATGTAATTTTTCATGAAAAATAAAACAAAAATAAATAAAATCCAATATTTTATGTGTATTATTTGAATTTAAACATACAAAATGTGTTGTTCAATAATACGAATTTTTCGGTATTACGAAAGGGCCTGACACTATATAATTCGTACTAGTGGACGTCCACTGTATATATAAAATGAAAATGTGTTTTTTTTTAATAAGGTAATTTTCTTTATTACAGAGCAAATATTGTACTCTAGTCAGTAAACCAGAGACACGTTATAATGTGCCTACTGGTTTCAGTGTACTCTCTGAAATCCCAGAAGCCACATCTGCCATACTCGAGAACCGTGTTATAACGGCTCTTAGCAAATATCAACAATTTATTGATTATATTCATATTTCTGACCAATTTTGCGGTCCCATACAACAAGACGAAACGAATGTTTTAAAACAACCTGAAACTAAACCAGTACTTATGGCCGGTTTTAATTTACCCAAGGATGGTGATATGGAATCTGTAAAACCATTGCTTATTTTGATTTTCTATTTAATGGAGCGCCTTAAAGTTCAACGTATATCCAAGGAGGTAAGATATTTAGTATCTACATAATTAGCATAACTCAAACTAAACTGACAATTTATTTTTCAAATTTCAAGGGTATCCAAAAAGCCGAGAAGAATAGAGCTCGTGTCGAGGAAGAATTTTTGAAAAGTACTCATGCTGCCCGTGCTGAAGCAGCAGCTCAACGTCGCGAAGAGAAACGCAAAGCCGAAAAAGAGCGTATCATGGCTGAAGATGATCCCGAAAAGCAACGTCGTTGGGAAGCCAAGGAACAGAAACGTCAGGCTAAAAAGAAAACACCTAAAATGAAACGTTTAGCCGTTAAATCGCTTTAAATGAGTATTCTCAAACGCATTAATAAGTTCTCATATGTCTCAGTCCACAAAAGCGTAACGTAATTGGTTTAAATATTATAATTTAATATTCAAGTATGTATTTATTTAAAAACAAATTTAAATTAACATTAATTTGAATAATAGAAAATTTAAGAAAAACCAACGTAAACCAAACAGAAATTTATTTTTTTTAACTTTTATCGTTTAGCAGATACTTTAACATTTGGCGGGAAAACTATTTTCATTAGACATAAAAGCTATATGATTCCTAAGAGTTTTGATTTGTTTCTGCGCAGCATCGAAACTGTAGGACAAAGTATTCAATTGTCCTTGCATTTCTCGTATAACCGATTCACGATCGCTTACAGACAAACAGGCAGTGGCACGACACTGAGCCAATTGTTTTTCTAAACGATCAATTTGATCTTGTTGTTGCTGCTTAATAAGTTCTGCACGCTCTTTTGTTCTGGCTATTATTTTAGCTGATTCAGAACGTAATGTATTCAAATCGTCCATGGTAGTTCTCAACTGTTCACAGAACATATCTCTTTGTTTTTGTATATCCTCTAGATTTTTCTTGACATGACCCAATTCCTGTTGGCATCTTTGCAGCTGAGGTTTACAGTCTTCTACATTGTTATCTTGCGTTTTAGTTTTAAGCTGCTTAAGTTCTTTGCACACTATTACCAGCTTAGTTTCAAGCTCTTCCTTTTCCTTACACATCTGAGCCAACTTAATCTGTTCGTTTTCCAAAAGTCTAGGAAAATGTAAAAGTTCAGCTAGTTTTTCTTGAAATTTGCCACGAATTTCTTTAACTTCTTGATTTATTTGTTTTTCAATGCGTTTATTATTCATATTGAGCTTTTCGAGGAGAGCAGTTTGTTCTTCGACTTTTTGTTGAGCCGTTAGATATTTATTACGATAATCATCTAACTGCATTGATTGTTCTCTCATTAGACATTTAAATTCGACTTGTTCTTCATTCATTTCATTGATGCGATTGCGTAAAAGAATTAATTCCGATTCATCGGCATTTCCTTGAATGTTAGAGTCACCGTTGTTGCTACAGCAATTTGCACAGGACGATTTTAGTCTGAAAATTTTAAAGTTTTTGGTGATTTGAACAAGAATTATCGTTTTTTCTTCTTATTTTCAAAGAAAAAGTATATTTTTAAAGAAAAATCTTTTTTACAATGAAAAATTAGATCGATTTTCCAATAAAAAAGTTATTTTTTTAAGAAATTTTCATAAAAAAATAAATTTTTATATTCGAAATGAAATTTTTCTTTGAGAAAAATCAAAATTTGAAACAATATCTATTTACTTTTTTGTTAAATCCTTAAGTTGTTCATCCTTCTTGCTAAATTCCGTCAGCAGATACAAATAGTTTTCCTTTAATTGTTCAAAATTTTCCGTTTTTTCACTTTTTTTGCCAAGACACATTAAAGGATCTAAGCTTGGACTTGGAGGCATAGCTAAAGATTTTTTATTTGTATCATTTTTATTGCAAGAATGACAACATTTTTCCTTTGCATCACGTTTATTTAATTCTTCCTTTAGCTTGCATATAGTTTGTTGCATACAATTAATTTTGTTGTTAATCTTTTCCATAGAATCATGCTTTTCCCTGCAAGCAGGCGGTTGTTTTTTCTTAGAAGCACGACATTCCTTAAGATTATTACACTCTTTAAGAGCGGCACAAATTTCTTTCATTAGCTTTCTCTCTTCCGCCACACTCATTTGACTTTCTCTATACGAACAGGATTTATCCATTTCACTAGACTCTCCACCGGATGCTCTTCTATTTTGGAATTTTGTTTGTGTTTGTAACGTTTCACAGGTGCGCATGATAAGATTTAAATTATCTTCATCGAATGTGGTTATAAGTGGGAATTCGCGATAACGTCTTTTCGAGCCAAAATTCTGTAAACGTATAGCTTTCTCTATAAGACAACGTAGCTTTTGCAATTCCTGTTCCCAATTATCTTTTAAGTTTTTCAAATCGTTACGTTCGCTGCGCGTAAGACAAGGCTTATCGGACATTTTTTGTATTTGTAACTTTAGATTTTCCAACATTTCATTTTGATATTTTATATCTCTTTCCAGACGTCTATATTCTTTATATTGTCGTTGTTTTTCTGGGTCTTCATTGGAACTTAGCGGTGTATAATCTTCGCCATAATCATCTGTTTCATGCTGTTCAATTTCAATTTCTTCTGCATATTCTTCGTTTGCGGTAAGTTCGGTGCCAGCTTCTTCCCGTTCTGATAGCGCCGAAACTGGATCTGTTTCACTAGCCATTTTTATTTATTTTTATTTTTAACTTAAAATTTTGTTCAATACAATTATTTTATCTTTTAATTTTTATAAATTTTTGAGAATTTTTTTTCAATTTGTTTAATTAATTTGTCAATGGCAATTGAAAAATTTTACCAAGGTATTCAGATTTTATATAGTTTTTCTTTTAAATTTCAGTTTTTTATATAATTTTGTGGTTGATCTTTTTATAACCTTCACCTTCGTGAGAAGGGTAATATAAGTTTGTTTTTATACCCTACACCACTTTAGTGGGGAGGGTATATTGGATTTGTGCTGATGTTTGTAACATACAAAAATATTCGTCCTAGACCCACCTTAAAGTATACCAATCGGCTTAGAATCGTTTTCTGAGTCGATTAAGCTATGTCCGTCCGTCCGTCCGTCTGGCTGGCTGTCCATTTAAACCTTGTGCGCAAGGTACAGATCGCAATTTTCAAGATAATTGGATGAAATTTTAATTGACCCAAGAACAAAGCCTATTGAAAATGGTTAAAATCGGTTCATTATTTCACCTAGCCCCCATACAACAGAACCCCCCGAAAAGGGCTTCTGAGCTCATAATTATGTTAAATATACAGATATATCGATAAAATACGGCACAACTAAGTTTTATAGAAGTCTTGATGACCCTGCCAAATTTCATAAAGATCGGGCCCCATTTGACCCTAGCTCCCATACAAAGTCCCCTTCAGAAAATTACTTGAATGTCCCAAATTAACTTATAAACACAAATATCGCGATGAAATTCAGCACAATAAAATATTATGTCAATATAAATATATTCACAAAATTTTATCGGGCTTGATCCATATTTGCCCCTAGCCCCCATATAAAGCCTCTTTCAGAAAATTGCTTAAATGTATCGGAACAAGGGAATATTGAAGATAAATGCTTTATTATGAAAAATAAATCACATTTAATATTCACAGCTAGTGTAGGGTATCATATGGTCGGCCACGCCCGACTATACTTTCTTACTTGTTCAATTTGTAATCTCTAAGATTCCTTATAGTTAGCGGAGTCGATTAACTTATGTCCGTCTATATGTTTGTTGAAATCAATTTTCTAAAGTCCCCACCCATCTTCGGCATCCAAATATTCAATAATTCTGTTAGACATGTTCTCGTGAAAATCGCTATTTAATATCAGCAAAATCGGTCTATAAATAATGAAGATATGATCAAAAATCTGAGACAACCTCTGGGAATTTTATTAATAAATTAGAAATTTTGTGCATGTTTAGACAAAATGAAACAACATACAATTTCATATGGTAAGTGTTGTTCTTGTTTTGTTACTGCCAAAATCATAGATGGAAAATTGTGAGTACATAATTAAACAGGGATGGAAAAAATATTTTTTTTTTAGCTTTTTCGTTCTTTAACTGCCGGCCCACATTAGGAAACTATTTTTGGGAAACTATTGATTTTACGTGAGAGAGAAAGAGAACGAAATATTCATCTCTCTCGCGGTACGGAGTTTCTCGTACTCTGAAAGACCTGGTTCACACTGGGAAACTTTTGGTTTTTTGTGTGTGAGAGAAATAGAAAGAAATATCAACCATTTCTTTCTCTCACACACAAAATCAAAAGTTTCTAAACAAAAGTTTTCCAGTGTGATCCAGGTGAAACTCGTTTTGTTTTGTTAGACCTGGTCCACACTATAGGAAACTTTTGTTGAGAAACTTTTTCTTAATTCTCTTTTGAATTAATTGCATTGATTTGTTGTTGTACGAATGAGAAGAATAACAAAACAAAACAAGTTTCCGAGTACGAGAAACTCCGTACCGCGAGAGAGAGATGAATGACATTCTTTCTCTTTCTCTCTCACGCAAAATCAAAAGTTTCCCAAAAAAAGTTTTCTAGTGTGGACCGGCAGTTATTCTTCTCATTCGTACAAAAACAAATCAATGCCATTAACACGTAGTTTCTGAAACAAAAATTTCTATATGTAGACATTAAGGAAACTTTAAAAGAGAATTAAGAAAAAGTTTCTCAACTAAAGTTTCTGTGTGTGGACTGGCACCAACAGGTACTTTTTAAGTTTTCTATAATATTAGAATTTGGCGTAAATGAGAACCTACAAGAGGGGACTTCTTGGCACTTTTTGCTCTTCAACTTTACTTTTTCGTCATTGAAAATGTGAATTTCTGATACTTTTTCGATTTCCAACTCGTATTTTTTATAAAATAAGTATTAACAGTTTTATTAAAAAACACTATGATGAAGGGTATATAAGATTCGGCTCAGTCGAATATAGAACTTTTACATGTTTTGTGTTGGAAAAAAATTTTGTGTCTTTTTTTTTTATTTTGAAATAAAATTACAAATTCACGAAAAGACTTTTTTGTAAATTGTTGAACAAAATTTTTAACAACAATTTATGGCGCATCCAAATCCAAATTCAAAGTTTCTAACTAAATTAAGTGCAAAACATAAACCACCACCTCCTCAACCAAACATAGACAAAAAACAAACTTTTTTCACATACTGCAGTTCGAAAAAGGAAAGTACGGCTGAAATGACGTCTTCGCATAAGAACAGTTATGAACAGTTTAAAAAATACAACAGTCCTAATGAGGATTACGAAGATTTTGGGGCTGATGGACAAGGGCAGCTTTTGTCTAGCGATAATTTTGGTAAAACTAAGAGAAATTTTAAAAAGCAGGAAATAAGTGAAAAATTGAAAGATGAATTACAAAAATATCGGAATGAACTTAAAGAATATACCAATAGTACAAAAGATTTGCAAGAAAAGTACCTAAAGATAAATTCAGAATTGAATGAAATGAAACAGAAACATATAAGACTTATTAACAAGCGAAATTTACCTTGTGGAGATTTCGAGACCTATTCAGATAGCAGCAGTTCTACGGGTACCGTTTACTCTTTACGCCGGAAATGTACTCAAATATTTAAACGCAGTAAAAGTTTTATATTATTAAATGAACAACCACTTAAACAAATGCTGTACAATTCCCACAAAGAGGATGCGAAAATAACTGAAACTATGGAGCAAAAAGTTCAACAGATATTGGCAAATAAAGAGAATATAAAACCAGTTTACGATAATGATTTGCAAAATGTTTATATGGCGCTCAAAACCGTTATGGATGATCAGTCTAAAGCACAGCAAAGCTCTACTGAAATCTTTTCGCTTAAAAATACTATAACCAAGCTACAAGATGATAGCGAACGTTTCTGTTCTATTATAGAAGAACAAAAAAATACCTTAAGCGATTATCGCTCACGTTTCGCTCAAGCCCAACAGTTAGTACAACAGCAGCAGATAGAAATTGAGAAATTAAATTCCAATAACCAGCAATTAGAAGCGGATGCTTCCATAATCATAGATCAGCTAAGAAATAGAATTGAAACCAAACTTCGGGATGTGGAATTTCTAACAGATGTTATGCGTGAGGAACAACTAAAAAAAGAACGTGCTATCAAGGAAAATTTGAAACTAAATGAACGCTTAGAAGCCATGCAGGCCGAAGCAAATCAGCTAAAAATTAAACTGGAAGAAATGAGTCGACGTAAAATGTCGACTATAACACGTTTAAAAGTGGCCGAAAGAGATTTAAAAATATTCAAAGACTACAATACGGCCTTAAAGCAAGAAAAACGTAAACTTAACGAAAAAATGAAAATCATGAGCGGACAATTGGAGTCGTTACAGAATGCCAGTAAGCGTACAATGAATCGTCAACGTGAACATAATGAAAAACAACGACGAGAATTACAAAAGAGAATTTACGATCTTGAAATGAAACTTAATCGTAGTCAAAATTCTACCTCAAGTTTAATTCAAGAACGTGATAGTCTTATAGCAGAGCTACAGAGTCAACTCAATAGTTTAGTGCATAATTTTGAGGTTTCCCAAAAGCATATACGGGTTTTGAGAAGACATATTTATACAATGTGTGGCAGCAATTGTCGTCAGTCGATCGTACGTAATCGTGCTATGGGAGAATTGATTTAATAGTTTTATTTTCTATTTTCTTTACATAAATTTGTTGTATAAAATGTAAGGATTCCTTTTTTTTTTTTTTTGTAAAGTTTTATTTGCATTTTATTCAACAAAATTTATATAAAACAAATCGATATTTATAGAAAATAAAATGTGTTTTTGTTGAAATGTTTAAATTATTGTTGTAATAAATCGTCCAATATTAGTCTACATACAAAAAAAATTACTTTATCTTAAATTAAACATAAAATTTTAAAAATGTCGGAACCTAGAGATCTAAGTACATCAAAATTTCTCCTTTACATTAGGTTTTTGAGATATCGTCTCCGAAATTTTGAAAAATAAACCTTTTTTGGCCATATTTGAGACGTTATAACAGTGTGTTATATCATCTGAAAGTCCAATATTTAGATTTTAGAATAAAAATTATATTATCTTTGGAGCTTTAGGCTAAGATTCCCAAGGAAGAATCATAGATTATAGATTGAACTTTTGGATGACATAAAAAATGTTGTGCAGAAATAACAGAAATACACCTAGTCCACTATCGGGCCTGTTCTGTGCTCTTATTTACAAGGAAAATATTTGTTAGTAAAATATAACAAGTAAGAAAGTATAGTCGGGCGTGGCCGACCATATGATACCCTACACCAGTTATGAATATTAAATGTGATTTATTTTTCATAATAAAGCATTTAGCTTCAATATTCCCTTGTTCCGATACATTTACGCAATTTATGGATGAAAAACTAATTTTCTGAAAGAGGCTTTATATGGGGGCTAGGGGCAAATATGGACCAAGCCCGATAACATTTTGTGAATATATTTATATTTACATAATATTTTATTGTGCTGAATTTCATCGCGTTATTTGTGTTTATAAGTTAATTTCGGACATTCAAGTAATTTTCTGAAGGGGACTTTGTATGGGAGCTAGGGTCAAATGGAGCCCGATCTTTATGAAATTTGGCAGGGTCATCAAGACTTCTATAAAACTTAGCTGTGCCGTATTTTATCGATATATCTGCATATTTAACATAATTATGAGCTCAGAAGACCTTTTCGGCGGGTTCTGTTCTATGGGGGCTAGGTGAAATAATGGACCGATTTTAACAATTTTCAATAGGCTTCGTCCTTGGGTCAAATAAAACGTGCGTGCCAAATTTCATCCAATTATCTTGAAAATTGCGACCTGTAGCTTGCGCACAAGGTTTACATGGACAGCCAGCCAGCCAGACGGACGGACGGACATAGCTTAATCGACTCAGAAAAGCCGATCTAAGCCGATTGGTATACTTTAAGGTGGGTCTAGGACGAATATTTTTGTATGTTACAAACATCAGCACAAATCCAATATACCCTCCCCACTAAAGTGGTGTAGGGTATAAAAAGCCTTATAAAGTAATTATCGTCCAATATTCAGAAACAAAGTCTTCTGTACGTAATTCCTAAGAATTTTTCAATCAGTGTGCGTGAGGGATGCTATATCCGGAATAATATTATTCCAAAATGTAGATCCAAACATTCGTCGAAAGCCTGACAACGGCAAAGATAGTGCTACAGAGTTTCACTGTCCTCTCTATATGTTCTTCATTCGTCTGAACCCGCACCACGTACCATACGCATACGTACCATTATATTATTATACTCTCGTTAGTCCCACCTCATAGGATATTTGGGGTGAAAACCACCGTCTCATTATGGGAAATACTTTATCTTAAACTAAACATAAAATTTTAAAAATGTCGTAACCTAGAGATAAATGTACATCAAAATTTCTCCTTTACATTAGGTTTTTGAGATATCGTCTCCTAAATTTTGAAAAATAAACCTTTTTTGGTCATATTTGAGACGTTATAACAATGCGTTATATCTTCTGAAAGTCTAATATTTAGATTTTAAAATAAAAGTTATATTATCTTTGGAGCTTTAGACTAAGTTCCCCAAGGAAGAAGATTAATCTTAGATTATAGATTGAACTTTTGGATGACATAAAAAATGTTGTGCAGAAATAACAGAAATACACCTAGTCCACTATCGGGCCTGTTCTGTGCTCTTATTTACAAGGAAAATATTTGTTAGTAAAATATAACAAGTAAGAAAGTATAGTCGGGCGTGGCCGACCATATGATACCCTACACCAGTTATGAATATTAAATGTGATTTATTTTTCATAATAAAGCATTTATCTTCAATATTCCCTTGTTCCGATACATTTACGCAATTTATGGATGAAAAACTAATTTTCTGAAAGAGGCTTTATATGGGGGCTAGGGGCAAATATGGACCATGCCCGATAACATTTTGTGAATATATTTATATTTACATAATATTTTATTGTGCTGAATTTCATCGCGTTATTTGTGTTTATAAGTTAATTTCGGACATTCAAGTAATTTTCTGAAGGGGACTTTGTATGGGAGCTAGGGTCAAATGGGGTCTGATCTTTATGAAATTTGGCAGGGTCATCAAGACTTCTATAAAACTTAGCTGTGCCGTATTTTATCGATATATCTGCATATTTAACATAATTATGAGCTCAGAAGACCTTTTCGGCGGGTTCTGTTCTATGGGGGCTAGGGGAAATAATGGACCGATTTTAACAATTTTCAATAGGCTTCGTTCTTGGGTCAACTAAAACGTGCGTGCCAAATTTCATCCAATTATCTTGAAAATTGCGATCTGTACCTTGCGCACAAGGTTTACATGGACAGCCAGCCAGACGGACGGACGGACATAGCTTAATCGACTCAGAAAACGATTCTAAGCCGATTGGTATACTTTAAGGTGGGTCTAGGACGAATATTTTTGTATGTTACAAACATCAGCACAAATCCAATATACCCTCCCCACTAAAGTGGTGTAGGGTATAAAAAGCCTTATAAAGTATTTATCGTCCGATATTCAGAAACAAAGTCTTCTGTACGTAATTCCTAAGAATTTTTCAATCAGTGTACGTGAGGGATGTTATATCCGGAATAATATTATTTCAAAATGTAGATCCAAACATTCGTCGAAAGCCTGACAACGGCAAAAAGAGAGTGCTACAGAGTTTCACTGTCCTCTCTATATGTTCTTCATTCGTCTGAACCCGCACCACGTACCATACGCATACGTACCATTATATTATTATACTCTCGTTAGTCCCACCTCATAGGATATTTGGGGTGAAAACCACCGTCTCATTATGGGAAATACTTTATCTTAAACTAAACATAAAATTTTAAAAATGTCGGAACCTAGAGATCTAGGTACATCAAAATTTCTCCTTTACATTAGGTTTTTGAGATATCGTCTCCTAAATTTTGAAAAGTAAACCTTTTTTGGCCATATTTGAGACGTTATAACAGTGCGTTATATCTTCTGAAAGTCCAATATTTAGATTTTAAAATTAAAGTTATATTATCTTTGGAGGTTTAGGCTAAGATTCACAAGATTATAGACTGGACTTTTGGATGACATAAAAAATGTTGTGCAGAAATAACAGAAATACACCTAGTCCACTATCGGGCCTGTTGTGCGCTTCTTTTCAAAGAAAATATTTGTTAGTAAAATAAAAAAAAGCCTTATAAAGTAATTATCGTCCTATATTCAGAAACAAAGTCTTCTGTACGTAATTCCTAAGAATTTTTCAATTAGTAAGCGTGAGGGATGTTATATCCGGAATAATATTATTCCAAAATGTAGATCCAAACATTCGTCGAAAGCCTGACAACGGCAAAACGAGAGTGCTACAGAGTTTCACTGTCCTCTCTACATGTTCTACATTCGTCTGAACCCGCATGTCCACTCAGAATACGTACCATTATAATATTATACTCTCGTTAGTCCCACCCCATAGGATCTTTAAGGATCTCATTATGGGTTTCTCTTACCCATATTTTTAAGTCTGCCCTCGTTGCGGCAAATGGTTTCGCGTTCGTCAGGTTAACTGCCTCGAGCTCCCTTTAAATCTATTACATTCGCTCTTCTGTTGCCGACTACTCCCGATTGGCTTGGTACCCATATGATGTAAACCTTAAATCGGGTAGAGTATTCGGTTACAGCTTTCTTACAATCAAATACGGTGTTAGACTTAACTTTATCATCTGATTTCGCCCTAACTGCCTTCTGGTTATCGGTTAATATGTGAAGACCTGTGGGCGCCATATTTGTTCTAATCCAATTTACGCATTCAGTTATTGCTCGGACTACTTTTGTTTATAATAATAAGTAGGATCATTATATGACATTACGATAAGAGTAGCGAAATACTATGGGCATATTTTGTTTAAAATATAAAACTAATTAAGGAGCGGTTATACATAGAAATGTTGAAATGAATGTTTAGGGTTCAACATTACCTTTATTTAAATTAAATACAGATAAGAATATTTCCTTAAATACAAAATACAGTGAATCAATTAAGTAATTTGCCTATGTAAAATTTTATAAATTTTAAGAAAAAACTTTATCTGAACAATTATTTTTAGCAAAATAAAGCAATTTGTTTGCTGTACTTTTTAAAGAATATCTTATATTTTAATTTTCTACCATAAAAAGTAAAATCGTGATATTAATTAACGAGATTTTTGATAAAATGTGAACGTATTGTTAATTTTTAAGGTCAATAAAGTATTTTGCTTTTTTAGGTTTTTTGTTCATTTTTTTAATATTGCTGCATTATTTTATAAAATTTAATATTTTTATTACTCCTATGTATTAGAATAGCATTTTTTAGATATTTTAGTAGTGGAACGTCTAAGTTTGGACATTTCTTAACCGATTTATTATCCTATATACCTATAAGAATTTTTCAATATTTGACTTAACATGAAATCTATCGTTTCTTTGATTTAATTTCGAAAATAATAAGTAATTTTGAATTGGATACATGATATATTAGGAAATCAATGGATTTGGACCTAGAAAATAATCTGGGGTTTTGGTCATTTTGTATTGATAAACAAAAACTACATTACGGAGACCCCATCTATTTGGGGAGTACTGTGTGAATTTCATTTAGAATTGTATAATATTGATTCTTATCCAATAAAGCTAACAGTAAGTACCATCCTAGTCACTCTAAGTATGGGGATATCACCGTATACCACTATAGAACTATTACATGCTAGAATCTTGATATTCTACCTCATATTTTGAATGCATTATTTTATGAATAAAATACAGTAGGCGTAGCTGGATTTGGATAGTTATTCTTGATTTGGGTTCTAACTATATATAAGTGTATGTATTAGCTGAAAAATATTGCTTTTGTGGATCTTAGGTGATGAGAACCGCCTCTATTTGTAAATATCTAAATTAAGTATTTTTCCCGTCCCACACGATAATTCACTTTATATTGTTTCCAAGCAACCTAAGGTCTGTTTAGGGGTCTAAATTTAAACATAGTGTTCTTTTAATTTCGTATATGGACTTTGGAGAAGATAAATGAGGACTTCAATGGTTTTTGCTTGGATACAAGTCGCTCTCCTTTGGCAGTTAAAGATTTTTAAAGACAACTCAGTGCTTTTTTTTTAATAATTCTTTGTGTTATTTCATCAATTTCTATATTTTATATTTTTTAATGATTGATTAAACATCTCATAATTGAATTTCATTGATTTTTACTTGTTCTAAAAATCTAAACTAATTTTTTATATTGGAATTGTCCTTTAAAACATTTTTAGCGCAAATAACTACACAGTTTCACACAATAAGGATATGATTTTTTAAAATTACAATTGAAAAATACTTAACACGTGTCCTTTTAACAATAAAACAATAAATTCCAAAAGCAATTAAAAAATAATTTGAAAAACCCAACGAAATTAACTGGAAATTTCAATATGCAAAATACTTTATTGACGTGCAAATTCTGATGAAAAATAATAAAATGCAACAACAAATGCACTAAAATTTTTATTTTAATAATTTTTTCTTGGTTTTCCCATTATACACAATCTTTATTTTCAATTGGAATGAATTTACTTTTTACCTGTTTTTTTGAATTTTATTTATGAACAAAAAACAAAATTCTCTTAAAAAAAGGTAGGCAAAAAACTTAGTTGATTCACTGTACATAAGTACATAGGTATGTAGTTAATAACATTAACATCAAATACTTTGAACAAATTTACAGTTCTGCTAGAGGATTATTCCGTGGTTTGATTCAAAATGAGAAAAATTTGAATATTTTTGCTTGCAAATCGAGTTACAGAGTAACCCCTCCAGCTGGTTATAATATACATAACAATAATACAAAATTTATAGCAAACTATTTAAAAGAAATATGATCATAATTGGTTTTATTATGGCCGGCAACAGCAACAACTTATATTATCTCTTCATAAATCTGACTGGGAGGTTCTTCGGTTGGTAACTGTTCATAGGTAATATGAACAGATTTTTCACATTTAGCAGTCGGTGTATCATCACTATGTAGTGCTATACAATTGCATTCGGAAACAATACCATTAATAGGCACTTCATAAGCCATTTCCGTTCCATCGACTATTTGTGTTAAAGGTCTGCGAGTTTCAGTTTGTAGAGTAGGTAAGGGCAATTGTCTAACGACATCAAAACGTTGACTTGGATGATTTGCTGGTGTTTGCATGCAAGAGAAGCCTTTATAGTAGGATAAATGAAACATTTTCTGACAATAAATCCACATATAGAGAAGCAGGAAAAGAAATGCTATACCTAAGGGCAACATGAAAACGATAATTAAAGCTTCGGCTCTTTGATTTCTTTTGAATTCCCAAGGACTGCCATAAACTAAAGTATACGTGGAAACATTCAAAAAGTGATCGGGAGTTATGGCCGTGTTTTCCCTTTGAGTAGCATTATTTGTGGTGATAGCAGGAGTGGTTGGTATTTTTTCTGATGGTATGCATTGTAGTCCATTAACATTTATTTTCGATATAAACTTTTCATATTGTAATATGCGAAATTTCTCTGGTTGATAATGGGCAAATTCATGTAACCACAAACAATCCCAGGGATTTTGATCACATTTTATGCGTACTTGTGATAGTACAACATCAGGTATAACATTATCATAACCCTGTAAAGATTGTAGCTGATTTTGGCTAAGATCGAATAAGGAAACATTTGGTAGGGATTTCAATAAATTATCTAAATGCAAAAATTTTATATGATTTCCTGTAAGTATAAGACACTCCAAGTTGCTAAGATTCGCCAACCATTCAAATGGTAGCCATTGCAATTGATTATTACTTAAATTCAATTCGTTTAATTTGTTCTCATACGCTGTAAATGTTTTCATGACATTGCCACTTAAATCAATGCGTTTAACGGTTGAATGAACATCGTGTAGCGTAAATTTTTCTAGAGCACAATGTTTTATGGTGAGATTTCTTAAAACGAGAGAATTTCTCAGCAGCAGCGCAACGTTATCGAATGGTGTATTGGCAACATAGAGATTTTGCAAAGTTTCAGGTAAATGTTTAAAAATGCCTGACGTCATTTGTTTTAGCGCCTCCAAATGTACACTGGCGACACTAGTGTATTCAAATAAATCAGGAAATTTCAACATCAGCACCGGTTCATTGACAATATATAAATTCTCTAATGATCTAATAGCTTTGAAGGCATCTTTGTGTATAAGTTTGAGTGAATTTTTCTCGATGAGCACATCCCTTAATTGTGGAGTGTTAGCAACAAAGGAATCAGCTTCAATGGCAGCTATTTCATTAAATTGTATATTCAAATATTCTAATTGTAGTTGTTGTGAATTTTCTGCCTGACAATGCAGAGGCCTTAGTATGTCCATGTGAAAATGCCTAATGGAAACTTTTGTAATATATTTACATATTGGCAAAAATTCCAAACCATAAGTTAGAGCATTTAAAGGCGTTTGGCAACCGTCCAGCATTACAGTTTGTATGCCCATGAAACGATTTTTTGTTGATGTTTGAAAATCATTTTCTTCTTCTGTTTGTTGGAGGTGATCTTGTGCATTGTTTTCTTTCAAATTGAAATGACAATCGATTTGCATAGTTATGCCATGTGAAAGTTCTAAATTTTTAAATAATTCCGTTTTAATAGTACACTCTTCATCATTGTTCCAGCACAATTCATTGCATTGTATTTGTTTTATATAAAACGTATATATCACCAGTAAAATTTTAAGTATTAGGTAGTTATAAGGCATATTTTGTTGTTATTGTTAAGTTTTTTTTTTTTTTAATTTTCCGTTTTATTTTTTTGCTTAACAATTTAATTAAATAATTCGCATTTCGATTTTCATCTAAACTCTCGGCGATCGTTTTGAATACTGAAATTTTGTATTCTCAAAAATAAACTAAATATTTTAATAAAAAATCGCTCATGATTCACCTTGTTGTAGCTGGTGGTGTGTATTAGGTTTGGTTTTTCTCTGTGTTCTTTTAATTTTTTATTTTTTATTTTTTTTTTTGGGTGTTGATGATTCCAAAATAAATGTTTGTTTTTTCATTAACCAATTTTCTCAGATTTTTCCTTATCCCATCAGATTTTTAATGTGTGAATTTATTTGTGTTTATAAATACACATTGTTTTGTTCGCACTCTACTACCCAGCGTTTGTATGTTTTGTTATGCAAATTTACTTTATGTACAATGTTCTTAGTTTGTGATATTATTTAATTATTCTGAGAGCCCAGCATAGTTAACATACACATTTAGTACACACTTATTAGTGTAAGTATAAAAAGTTTAGTAGCAGTGTTTTTTTATTAGTTTTCTCACAGCTTCTGTTTGCAATTAATTTATCTTTGTTGGATATATTTCAAATTGTGTTTCTATTATCTGCTAAGAATATTAAAAACTGGACAAATTTACTTCATTGTAAAAATTGCCAAGTTGCTGACAAGAAGTGGCGAAATTTTAATTTTATTGCTAAAACTGAGTGACAAAATAGCAACGTTATAAAAATTTTTAAATTTTAATTTAAAAAATGTTTGTTTAATTAAAAGTTAAGTTTAATTTTATTTCCACTGAATTTTCTTTATTCATATTATTCAATCAGATCCGTGTTTGTATCCTCAATTTTATGTTTATGTTTTCGATATCTAGTCTATAGTCTAGTCTATAGTCTAGTCTATAGTCTAGTCTATAGTCTAGTCTATAGTCTAGTCTAGTCTATAGTCTAGTCTAGTCTATAGTCTAGTCTAGTCTATCTAGTCTAGTCTATAGTCTAGTCTAGTCTATAGTCTAGTCTATAGTCTAGTCTATAGTCTAGTCTATAGTCTAGTCTATAGTCTAGTCTATAGTCTAGTCTATAGTCTAGTCTATAGTCTAGTCTATAGTCTAGTCTATAGTCTAGTCTATAGTCTAGTCTATAGTCTAGTCTATAGTCTAGTCTATAGTCTAGTCTATAGTCTAGTCTATAGTCTAGTCAATAGTCTAGTCAATAGTCTAGTCTATAGTCTAGTCTATAGTCTAGTCTATAGTCTAGTCTATAGTATAGTCTATAGTCTAGTCTATAGTCTAGTCTATAGTCTAGTCTATAGTCTAGTCTATAGTCTAGACTACAGTCTAGTCTATAGTCTAGTCTAGAGTCTATAGTCTAGTCTATAGTCTAGTCTATAGTCTAGTCTATAGTCTAGTCTATAGTCTAGTCTATAGTCTAGTCTATAGTCTAGTCTATAGTCTAGTCTATAGTCTAGTCTATAGTCTAGTCTATAGTCTAGTCTATAGTCTAGTCTATAGTCTAGTCTATAGTCTAGTCTATAGTCTAGTCTATAGTTTAGTCTATAGTCTAGTCTATAGTCTAGTCTATAGTCTAGTCTATAGTCTAGTCTATAGTCTAGTCTATAGTCTAGTCTATAGTCTAGTCTATAGTCTAGTCTATAGTCAGTCTATAGTCTAGTCTATAGTCTAGTCTATAGTCTAGTCTCTATCAGTCTAGTCCTATAAGTATAGTCTACCTAGTCTAGTCTATAGTCATAAGTCTATAGTCACTATAGTCTAGTCTATAGTCTATCTAGTCTATAGTCTAGTCTATAGTCTAGTCTATAGTCTAGTCTATAGTCTAGTCTATAGTCTAGTCTATAGCTCTATAGTCTAGTCTATAGCCTGGTCTATAGTCTAGTCTATAGTCTAGTCTAGTCTATAGTCTAGTCTATAGTCTAGTCTATAGTCTAGTCTATAGTCTAGTCTATAGTCTAGTCTATAGTCTAGTCTATAGTCTAGTCTACAGTCTAGTCTACAGTCTAGTCTATAGTCTAGTCTATAGTCTAGTCTATAGTCTAGTCTATAGTCTAGTCTATAGTCTAGTCTATAGTCTAGTCTATAGTCTAGTCTATAGTCTAGTCTATAGTCTAGTCTATAGTCTAGTCTATAGTCTAGTCTATAGTCTAGTCTATAGTCTAGTCTATAGTCTAGTCTATAGTCTAGTCTATAGTCTAGTCTATAGTCTAGTCTAGTCTATAGTCTAGTCTATAGTCTAGTCTATAGTCTAGTCTATAGTCTAGTCTATAGCCTGGTCTATAGTCTAGTCTATAGCCTGGTCTATAGTCTAATCTAATCTATAGTCTAGTCTATAGTCTAGTCTATAGTCTAGTCTATAGTCTAGTCTAGTCTAGTCTAGTCTATAGTCTAGTCTATAGTCTAGTCTATAGTCTAGTCTATAGTCTAGTCTATAGTCTAGTCTATAGTCTAGTCTATAGTCTAGTCTATAGTCTAGTCTATAGTCTAGTCTATAGTCTAGTCTAGTCTATAGTCTAGTCTATAGTCTAGTCTATAGTCTAGTCTATAGTCTAGTCTATAGTCTAGTCTATATTCTATAGTCTAGTCTATATTCTGGTCTATAGTCTAGTCTATATTCTATAGTCTAGTCTATATTCTGGTCTATAGTCTAGTCTATATTCTAGTCTATAGTCTAGTCTATAGTCAACTCTATAATCTAGTCTCTAGCCTAATTTATAGTCTAATCGCTAGTCTATAGTATAGTATATAGTCTAGTCTACATTATAATCTATAGTGTAGTCTATAGTCCAGTCTGTAGTCTAGTATATAGTCTTGTCTATAGTGTAGCATTTAATCTAGTCTATAGTACCAAGTTTATGAATATTTTAAGATTTAAGATTTACAAAGATTTACAAAGAATTGGAGAAGAAGCTTGATTTTGATGTTGCTCAAATATAAATGTGTTTAGTGTTTAAACTCTATAGAGTCTAGCGCATTAAGCGTCTTTAAGATTTTTTTAATTTTATTGAACTGAGATTTTCTCTTATTGCAGTTATTAAGTTTATTTATTAGTTTCATTAAAAAAAGTTAAATTAGTTTGTTTCGAAAAAAAAAATATAAAATAAAGTCATTATTAGATTGCAAGACATAAAATAAAATAGAAAATTTTCTTAAGTTTTAAAACATTTAAAAATCAATCATGTTTAGAACTTACGACAACACGACGTACAACAATATTGGACTTAGTACGAGATTGTTTAACAGTACTTTTGCTGTTTACTTTATTTGTAGCAGTAGTAGTAGTGGTAGATTTAGCCTCCGTTTTTAGATTTGATGTATTGGTTGTAGCTTTAGTAGGTGATGGAGTGCCAGGACTTAGATTGTGTACAGTATCGGCATTTGAGGAAAATTTAACATTTTTGCCAGAATCCTTAAAAAGCAAATCATTCTGTTTACTTAGTATGGAACGTGCTGGTGGAGCAATTGATTTTATTGTTGGCTTTTCCAATGATCTTTGTGAGGGACGCATAGGCGAAGGAGGTTTCGCTGTTAGTTTAGAAAAATTATCTAATGAGGGGCTATCATCTAATTTATTAATATTATTGTTGTTGTTGTTTTCTTTATCTTCATTATTATTGAGATTCTCTTCTTGTTTCTTAACAATTATTGCTGGTTTTTCCTCTTTGATGCTAATATCTTTTATTTCTTTGCACAATAGCTCCTGTTCTAGTGTTTCCTCATTATGTTCTTTTGCTATAGGAGTAACTGCTTCAATATTATTGTTATTTAACTTATCTTCTGTTTTGATCTTGGGAGTAGTTGTTATTGAGTTTGGTAGAGGACTAGACATTTCTTGTCTGGTTGGCCCCTTTGAGGGTGTCATTGATCTACGTTCGACAATATTATCAAAAGTACTACTTCTACGATTACTAACTATACGTGGCTTAGCCTCCGCTTGTTCTTTTTCGCTGATGTTGTATTCTATAGCGTGTACGGGTTTAAAGTTTATTTTATTTTCCGTTAAAAGATGTTCACGATCTATAAGAATACAGCGTGACTTAAGAGATTCAAAGCGCCATCTGAAGAAAATAAACCAAATAAATTTAAGATTATAAAACAAAATAACATTAAATTACCTGGCCATATCTTGTTGGGCATTGCGTAACTGTTCCTCCAAACTGGCCTTTTGTATGCGTACACTATGCAACTGACTCTTGAGATCCTCCGTTTCTTTTCTACACACAAAGATAGCAATTTGTTATCGTGACAGTAAAACAGCTTTTGTAGTACATAATTTTATAAATATTTACAACTAAACTACATGCTTTTTTAATACATATGATGAATGTATGTGAAACTTTAGAACTTTTTGGTTTATATAGAAAAAGTTAGACCATGATAAAAAAAGGAACTTAGTACTTAAAATTAAAGGAAATACATTTTAAAATGTAATTCTGACTATTTTTTGTTTATGGTTTTAGGTTGTTTAGGACATGCTTGTAATAGGAAATTAATAGTTTAAAGCAAAAAGCGCACGAATGGTAGGGTAATAAAGCTCGACTTTTTGATAAAGTTTCCTATATACTCTACACAACTTGCAACGCGTTTTGTTAGCTCATACTTGCAGAAACTAAGCATAGAATCAAGAAATAATACGCCTTTATCGTTGGCCATATCCTTTAGGCGATCTTGAGTCCATTTCAGTTGACGTTCGAGGTCTTCATTTTGATTCAACAAATGACGGACACGTTCATTAAGTTTTTCTGAAAAAATGAAGAAGTTCTATTTATGTAATACGTTACATTTTCAAGTACTGTTTTATATACCTTGATATATCTTATCTGCATTACAAAATATGGAACTACAAGCTTCTAGTTCTGTATGCATGGAAATATTCTCACGTTTAAGACGTCGTATTTCATGTTCACTTTCATTGTAGATTTTCTTCATTTGCACATAACTTTTCTTTTGAGCTGTAAGCAGTTGCTTCATGGCTTGGCGTTGATCATCTACTTCGGCAAATAATGAATTTCCTTTGCGTTCTAAAGTAACGTTAATGCATAAATTATATTAATCAAGTTTAAATTATAAACCAAAATCGTATGAAATTAGAATCCGCCT